CATACACAGGTTAAAAACAAAACAAAACAAAAAACAGCACCTTCCACACTGAGAAACACAGAAACCCAAAGTAACCAGAAATACACATAAGGCAGAATCATTTCACCCAGACAGTAATATGCACTTGTAGAAGGAATCACAACTCCCCCACAACCCACAACACAGGTTCACAGAATGTCACAAAGACCCATACACATACACAGAATGACAATGTGCACACACTCGTGCATGCACACACACACACAGATACACAGAATCAGAAAGTGACATGGGGCTGGCATGGTGGCTCAAGCCTATAATCCTAGAACTTTGGGAGGCTGAAGCAGGAGGATCACTTGAGCCCAGGAGTTTGAGACCAGCCTGGGCAACATGGTAAGGCTCTGTCTCTACAAAAATATGAAAATAATTAGCTGGGCCTGGTGTCATGCACCTGTAGTCCCAGCTACCGGGAAGGGTGAGATGGGAGGATTGCTTGAGCCCAGGAGGCTGCAATGAGCTATGATCACACCACTGCACTCCAGCCTGGGTGAGATAGTGAGACCCTGTCTCAAAAGAAAGAAAGGGCTGGGCATGGTGGCTCATGCCTGTAATCCCAGCACTTTGGGAGGCCGAGGCAGGCAGATCACCTGATCACCTGAATTCAGGTGTTCCAGACCAGCCTGACCAACGTGGTGAAACCCTGTCTCTACTAAAAATACAAAAGTTAGGGCCAGGCACAGTGGCTCATGCCTGTAATCCCAGCACTTTGGGAGGCCAAGGCTGGCGGATCACCAGGTCAGGAGATTGAGACCATGGTGAAACCCTGTCTCTACTAAAAATACAAAAAATTAGCTGGGTGCGGTGGTGGGTGCCTGTAGTCCCCGCTACTCGGGAGGCTCAGGCAGGAGAATGGTGTGCACCCAGAAGGCGGAGCTTGCAGTAAGCCAAGATCGCACCACTGCACTCCAGCCTGGGTGACAAAGCCAGACTCTATCGCAAAAAAAAAAAAAAAAAAAAAATTAGCTTGGTGTGGTGGTGCACGCCTGAAATCCCAGCTACTTGGGAGACTGAAGCAGGAGAATTGCTTGAACCTGGGTGGTGGAGGTTGCAGTGAGCAGAGAATGTGTCACTGTACTCCAGCCTGGGCAACAGAGTGAGACTCCAAGAGAAAAAAAAAAAAAGAAAAGAAAGAGAGAGAACGGAAGGAAGGAAGGAAAGAAGGAAGGAAGGAAAAAAAAAAGACACTCAGCCACCAGTACACCCACACTCCCAGAGGAGATCCAAAAGATGAGTCAACACACAGAGTTCTGGTGCCTACCAAGGTGAGGTCTTTATGGTGGTATAGAGATTGGTGAGTTTCAGAGCCAGTGTGTCCAGTCTAGTCCCTCCCCTTTCCCTAGCCCAGCACAATTCCCTCCATTGAGGATCCACATCACCTCCAGAGGGAGGAGGTAGGGGTCACACCCCCCCCGTAGCACCAATCTGGATAGGCCACTCCCTGATGAAACAGAGCAAGCAGTGCCTTCCACGAAGGGGGTAAATGGGGCTAAGAAGGGGGAGGCCTTTTCCTGTGGGAGACCAAGAGTAGCACCATTTGCAGAAAGAAAGCTGGGGGGTAAGGGAGGCACATAGATGGTGGCAGAGAGCTGAGGGGTCCTGGCCTCTCTCCCCACCCGGCAATATGCAGACAGTGCCGTGCCTGTGCGTGTGCCTGTGCGGCTGGAGAAGTCTTCGGACTGCAAACCACCCAAGAGGTGAGGGAGCCCCAGGTGCCCCGAACCATGTGGGGTAAAGTCAAGGTAAGTGCATGTCTGGAGGGCTGGGGTGGGAAGTGGAGGCGGTTCTGGGGCACAGAGATTGTAGGCAATGAGAATGGAGAGGCATGAAGTCCAGGAGCAGCACAGCCTAGAGGGTAGGGGTCTAGAATGGGAAGACTTAAGACTGAAGGAAGGAATTGGGGTAAGTTTAGTGGGGTGGGAAGCCCAGAATAGATTTAGGAGGGTGGGGTCTGGAATTAGAGAGTTAAGGTTATAAGATTCAGAACCAGAGGAATCTTTAGGGAAAAGTCTAGATTCCATAATCAGAAGCATTTGGAGGCTGAATTATAGAACCAGAAGAATTTGGATCTGATATCAAAGACAGCTGGAAGCTGTGAGGCTTAGAAGCAGAGGAATTTATAGAATAAGGCACAGAATCAGAAAAAGCCTGGCTGGGCTCAGTGGCTTATGCCTGCAGTCCCAGCACTTTGGTGAGGCCAAGGAGGGAGAATTGCTTGAGCTCAGGAGTTCGCAACCAGCCTGGGCAACATGGCGGAACCCCGTCTCTATTTTTTTTTTTTAATAAAAAAAGGAAAAACAAAAGCCTAAAATCTTGAGTTCTAGAACCAGAGAGATTTGGGGACCATAAGATCTAGAATCAGAAGGAGTTGAGGGTGGTAAGATCTAAAACCAGAGAACTGTATAAGGCAAAGTCTAAAATCAGAAGATATTTGAAGGCTGAATTCTAGACCCAGGGTAATTTGGAGTCAGATCTTGAGTGAGCAGGAGCTGGAAATGATGAAGTCTAGAGCCAAAGGAACTTACGGAATGAGGTCTAGAATCAGAAGGCACTTGTAAGTCAGTTCTAGAACCAGAGAAACAGCAGATCACCAGATCTTGAATCAGAGGACCCTGGAGGTAGCACTGTCTAGAAGTTGTGTAGACTGGAACTAGTGAGTGGTGCAGGTCATGAGGTTCAGAATCTAAGAGAACTAGAGCATCGTCTGGTTCTAGAAGAACTGGTTATTATAAGATAAGGACAGGGCTGGGCATGGTGGCTCATGCCTGTAATCCCAGCACTTTGGGAGGCTGAGGTGAGCAGATCACTTGAGGTCAGGAGTTCAAGACCAGCCCGGCCAACTTGGCGAAACCCTGTCTCTACTAAAAAATAATAATAATAATAAAAAATTAGCCGGACATGGTGGTGGGCTCCTGTAATTCCAGCAACTTGGGAAGCTAAGGCAGGAGAATCACTTGAACCCAGGAGGCGGAGGTTGCAGTGAGCCTAGATGGCACCACTGTACTCCAGCCTGGGCAACAGAGAGAGACTCTATCTCAAAAAAGAAAAAAAAAGAAAAAGAAAAAAAAAGGTAAACACATCAAACTCTCTGTACTTGTTTTTGATGAGGGCAAATGAGTCTTGCGTATAGAGAACTGCAGAAAAATAAGCTGAACCTCATAAGGTCTAAAACAAAAGTGATTTAGAAACTAAGAAGTCCGACCAGGCGTGGTGGCTCACTCCTGTAATTTCAGCACTTTGGGAGGCTGAGGCGGGTGGATCAGTTGAGGTCGGGAGTTCAAGACAGCCTAGCCAATATGGCGAAACACTGTCTCTACTAAAAATATAAAACTTAGCTGGGCATGGTGGCACACGCCTG